ATAGTATGTTATTTAGATAAATAGCATCCTAATAGAGTGTATTTCTTGCAAATAAATATCTAAAAAATCATACTAGTCATTTACTAAATTAGTTATCAATGTATCATAGTGTAAGTATCCACTTAACTAACTTCAAAAAACCATAAAAAATAGCAAACCTTGACAAAAGCGATAGTGAACCAGCCGATTATGAAGAGTGTTTATGATCCACATTGTCTGGTTCAAATAGAATCACATAGAAAGATCATTATTTCCATAATTGAATGATTAAATTTGTAACGTGAAAACTAATATTTTCCAAGTGAAAACTTACGTAGACATGACCAACCAAATCTGTTAATTTCCCACAAATTATTGCTCTAAGGATTAATCCCACCATTAATATCGATCCAAAAAGTGAATACTGAGAAGAGCAAGAAAACAAGAACAATTACAATTGGACTAATCCAAAATTAGGATTGGAAATTAGAACTTGATAAAATTAAGATTGAAAATTAGATATTTAGGTTTGAAATTTAGAATTACGATTGGAAATTAGATATTTAGGTATGCAATTTAGAATTAAGATTGGAAATTAGAACTTGATAAAATTAAGTATATACATATTTTTATCATGATTATAATTAATATTATGGTTTAAAAATATTAATTTTTTTCATTTTAAATGTAACTTTTTAGAAAATTTTAATTTCAGTTTAAATTTCGGATTTATAATTTTTATATTTATCAAATTAAAATTTAATTTTTAATTTTGATTCTATATTTTTATTAGAATTATGAGGTGAATTTATTAATTTTTTATAAATAATTTGAATTAATTTGAGATTCGGGTTTAAATTGGCCAATGTTAAAAAATCAGGTCCAAAAAGGCACGATGACAATATTTCTGGTCCAAAAAAGCAGTTCCTTTTATCTACGTGTCGTCCATGTCACTGTTCCGTTAACGTTGACTAACGGTAATTTGGTAAAGGTCTAAATCAACAATAAAATCGTATGTTTGGATATCAAATTTAAATTAATTTGAGGTTCGGGTTTAAATTAGCCAATGTTAAAAGATCAGATACAAAAAAATCCGATGGCAATAGTTTTGGTCAAAAATGCCGTTTTCCCTCACTGTTCCTTCTTTGTGTTGTGTCTTTCCCAAAAGAACTAATAAAATAATAATTTGAACTTTTGTTTATATTAATTAAAAGAGCACTTAAATTGTGCAAACAAGTGATAAGATATTCCCACCTGCTCCCGAAGTTGCTGAAAGCAATGTAGCTTATACGTGGAAAGAGATAATGCATCCTCATTTCATAGATTATTCAGATCTTACAAATGCAAATTATTTGAATTCGTGAGTTTTGTATGTTGAAAAAGTGTATATGTGTGTGAAGGAAAAAAAAAAAAACTCAATTTGTTTCTAGAAAACAGCACTGGTTAATTACTCGAGAAGTGGCTCGAAATGGTGAAGATAATTGTGTGGACAATTCAATAATACATAATCCGTGGCATATATGTTCGTTTGGAATCATATTCGGGACCCAATAGAATTTAGGCTTATCCTACTAGAATTTGATATTTTTTTCAATGCTCGATTACAATGATATAATGTTGGTATGACTTACTATATGGAAAAACTAAAAGTCATTTAGTAAATGTTATTTTTCATATCTCAATATTTTCTGTGATTAGGAAACTGGAGTGGCAATTATATATATTGAAGAGTGCAACCAAATTATGTAGCCAATTTTTTCCCAATAAACATCTTCGTTACCTGATTATCTATACTCAAAACCATTACAAAAAACATAAACATCACAAGACTACACATACCTAAATACAAACTTCATACAT